ACCTTCTGTATAAGTAAAATGTAATAAAGCCAATCGATACGGATTACGATGAACATCATTTGTAAAATGATTACTTAAAATTAAAATTAAATGTATACTTTGATTTGCTAAATGATGATTGCGAAGTTCAAATGCTGGATCATTAGCTGTTACTGTTTCATCTGTAGTATTGGATGTCGATGATGAACCCATACCAAGTGTAACAACAGACCAAAGGCCATCTAATTCAAATTAGGTATTTAAAAATACAAAATTTATCATTTCTTTGGTGTTTTCTTTTGCTTCAAAAGAATATCTATAATCCTGGATGGAACAAAACATTCTTAATTGAAGGAAGATTTCACGAAAATATTCGTGACAACATTGTTGAGATAAAGCAGTCATTAGGAAGAAGAAGATGATATCTGTCTGAATCATAACTTCAGTACACGTCAATCGATATATGGCAGAGTGGGTGCTTGTGATCAGAGTTTATTGTCATTTGCACGCACCCAACATATGAATTGAACATCATCAAGAAAAGCAGCACTTCGTGAAGAGGGTGGGACAGCTAATCTTATTCTTCTGTTTAACCCTTTAGCCTCTACTGTGTCACTTTTGACCTACTTACAGAACCTATCTATTCGGAATGATAAAGCATCAGATCGAGACAAGTCTTTAATAAGTTATAAAATTATAAAAAGTATTTTTTCAAAAAAGTGAAAAAATCGATCTGTTTTTGTTTTATTTAGTTACGCAGATTGATTATTCTGATATTTTTCATGTTGATATAACTTCTATAGACATAATCTATTTGCAGAGTAGTAAAATAAAATAAAGACTAAGGATACTGATACAATCCAGAAGATGAAACAACTGATTTCAATCTATAGTTCATTCTGCAATAATATGACTTCACTTAAATTTAAACATATTACTTTGAGTTAAGTAAAGCACTGATGTACCTAATATTAGAAACTCATTTAGAGAATAGAACTACAATACTTCATTTTCGCATAAATTTTCTCAGTGAACTAATTTTTTTTAAGGTAAATTAATCCATAAGAAAGTCAATAAAATAGATTCTAAGTGATTCGAACATTTCCTAAAGTTTAAAAAAACAACATGTTTTTTTTTACATAACTTACATGCAACACTTTGTCCAATTTTATATAAAGTTCCACTATCTCCATTCGATCCATTTAATGGAGCAACAGCTAATGCTGATGGACATTCTGTTTGTTTAATAAAATGTTCTAATAATGTTCGTGTAAATTCCGAAATTAATAATGGACTAAAATAAATAATTTATTTAATAAAGTCTTTAAACAAAAGAAGAAAAAAAACTTCTTCATACTCAAGTCGATGCATAAATATACTATAAATAGCACTAATAAGTGCTGCTTCTTTAGCACACATTTGAATAGATAAAAGTGAAAGTAATGTATTCAATACTTCCAAATGTAAAGCGTATGAATATGATTCAACTGGTATTGCGATTGTCGTTCGAAATAAATTATCAACAAAAAAACTCATTAATGATACTCGATCTAAATAGAATAATTTTTAGGAAA